TTCTTGAATGAAGAGAAGATTTTCCTCCTTTTTTTTTTATTTGTGTGTGTTCCAATTACAGGAATATTTTAAGAAACAAATGTGCCACTGTGCCACAATCTGAAGGCTTATGGTAGATGTTCCTTTGAAGACAAATGTTCTAAACGTCATCATGTTATTGCCATTCAGGACAAACCCGTTAACTTGCCTACCACTGGTGAAGTCAAGGTCTTGATCACACATGTAGTAGATGCTTCTCACTTATTTGTTCAGCTTTTGGGACATCGATCATTATCTACCAGTGATGACACGTCATTCTTACAATTTACACCATGGACTAATGAAGTTCAAAGACTGAAAGCTGAAATAAATGGTCACTACCAAGTTTCTGAAAACTGTAAACCAAACCTACAGCCAGTAGAAGGTGATATTTGTGCACTAAAGGATAAGAATGAGAATATCTCAAGAGTTATGGTAAGTTATCCATAAACAAGTAATAACACTTTTACTGTAACCATTTTTATTTGAGTTGTTGATCACGGTAATTCAGTTGGTTCACTGTTTGAGAGAATTTAATAACACTATTTGACTTGAATGGTAAACATGTTTTACTATGGTTCTAGTTGACTTTGGTAGTGAATATAATTTAGCTGCTATAGTGGTTGATTTTAATAGTGTACATAGCATAGCTAGGGTTCTCACCACTATTGTGTTTGTTGTATCCCAGCTGACCTGAAGAGTTTGGATTGAGCGTTAGCAGTGGATATGATAAATATAGTGTGGTTGGAATACTATTGGTATACACTCTTCTAATTCTTGAATATCCCTAAGGGATATAGAATGTAATGTGTAAGAATATAATATGCCTAATACTAATATCTGTTGGAACTATGCCCAAACCATTGAAATTATTACTCTTGTTACTCTTGTGACATAGCATCCACAAGTTGTGTTGCAGAAGTTACTTAAAATGTTACCAACTACTGACTCTCTTGTCCTTAGGATTCAGTGCTTCCAAGGCTATGATCATAAAGTTACTTGTTTCATCATGAGTTTTTCTGGTAGATTTAAGTTTTATAATGATGTTTCATACAAGGAAAAACTTGCTATCAGTTTAGCACAGAACTAAACTATAATACTGTAAGAAGCTGAAAACATTTTACTATGTAGCCAAATAAAAACAGAACTGGATTTGCAATAAAAAAGGATATTTTTTTTTTTACTTTGAATATCTTAAGAAGAACAATTATCATATCAGACAAATTGACACGACTATCTGCACTTTTAAAGAAAAATTAGTCCAGAATTTTACATAAAATATTGTAGTAATATAACAGCCCATCACAAACTACTTAGTAGTCAAGTGCAGTGATTTTATTACATTTTGAGATCCATGTGTTATATTGGTACAACACGATTGATATCCTTGTAGTATGCAATACAGTTTTGCAAGGTA